CGTTCAATATGACGCACACGTTGATATTTTAGACGTTTTAATTAGAGACAAGATATCTCTTATCACCATTGACATTTGACTGTTCATTATTCAACACCCTATCTATAGAAATTGCGTAGCAACAACTGCTTATCATAGTGACCTCTCGTAGATTGTATTAGCGCGGGATAACCTGAGCGAACGTGGGTCACGCTCTGCGAAGTTAGACAAATGGGTGGAATCGGGGGGGTTGTTGCGAGTAGTAATATAAACTACCAGTCCCATTGCTAGCAATATACCCTGTCAGGTCGACCTCCACGCGGTTCCTCCTGGAAACCACCATGGTTAATTCTTGTCGAATTCATCATGGTGGGCCAACTGACCTACATTCATTCTCACTTATCATCTTCCACTGGTGCCTCGTCGGTGTATACCGATAGAGCGGGCGAGGTAACCATTCCATTTTCACCCATTAAAAACAAAGTATACTCTGGGGCACCAGTGAGGGATGATATAAATGCGCCTATGATTATTCTACTCCGATATATATGTATACTTATAATAAAGCTGTAGAGAGGTCAATTCTGTACATGAAATATATTTCCAAAATAACTATCAGGGGGTGATTAGTGATCGATACTGATCGATCGATACTTATCGATTACAAAAATGCAATCAGTAAAATTTTTGTCTGTCTGTCTGTATGTTCGTTATAGAAACAAAAACTACTCGACGAATTTTAACGAAACTTGGTACAATTATTCTTCACACTCCTGGGCAGCTTATAGTATACTTTTCATCACGCTACGATCAATAGGAGCAGAGCAGTGAAGGGAAATGTTGGGAAAACCGGAGAAGTTACTCCATTTTTAAGCTTCCGTCGCGTGTGTAGCCTTAATGGCCACTTTTTTAAATGTAAAAATGTCCACCCGTTCGACGCCGGGACGGGCCGCTAGTTCCATAATAATTTAAAGTGCATATTATATAATGCATGTCATTTGCTCCTTGTATTATAAAACAATAATAATAATAATGTATGCGTAAACATATGCATACTATTAGCCTGATGAAATAATAAGGAATCGATATCACAGAATCGATCAATACCGTAAATTTTCCTTGTTTCAGTCTGTTTGTATCGCGTTGTATAACTTGTGTGTGTGTGTGGAAATTTTAATATGGCGAACTTATCGTGCCTTATTATATACCTATTTACGCTTGAAATTTGCAACAGTCGACTAATGGGTGACGTCACTTGCTGAATCAATGAAATCGGTAATATAATAGTATAATAATTATATATAACGAAATTACATAATATGTGAATATATATATATATATATATATATATATATATATATATGTGTATATTATGAAAATTTCTCGTTTTACAATTATTATTTTCGATTGCCATCTTGCAACCATTTTTCGGATTATTAAAATCGCTATTAAAAAACAGGGGTTGATCGTAAAAGGGTAAAAATTTTAAGCTGTATGTAATTTTCAATGCTTAGTCATAATAAAATAAAAATAAAAAAATAAATTAGGGGTCTTTATCATTGAGGGTATGAAAAATAGATGTTTGCCGATTCTCACAACTACCCAATATGCACACAAAATTTCATAAAAATCGGTAAAGCCGTTTCGGAGGAGTTTGGTAACAAACACCGCGACACGAGAATTTTATATATTAGATATATATGTTCCCAAAAGTTGACTGGGAGCGAATTCTATATAGCATCAAGTTCGCCTTTTGTACCAAACATTTTATCTTTTTATTTTATATCTCAAAAGCCTTTCACATTTATAATATTAGTAGAATACTAACAAATAAACGACTTCTTTACTACAATATCTAAGTTTACTCGAAAAAAAAAACAACTCTCTTTCTTTCTAGAAAACGTTATAATACTTCGGAGATAGGGGCAAAGGGATTGTTAGTAATGGAGATTGAGAAACCCATTGCTAGCAATATACCCAACCAGGTCGAACTCCTCGCGGTTCCCCCTGGAAACTATCATGATTAATTCCTGATGAATTCATCATGATGGGCTAACTGGCCTGTTATCATTCTCATCTATCACCCTTCACTGGTGCTCCGCCAGCGTATCCCGTTAGCGCAGGCGGGGTTACCATACCATTTTTACCCATCAAAAAAAAATACTTCGGAGCCACGTCAGTCTGTGTCATTCATTAGACAATCAGCGGTTCGTAATCGGTTAAAATTTAGCTCGTTATCGCTATATACAGATAGGTACGATAACTGGTACAGGATCGTATCAATATTGATAACTCAAAAAATCCTTTCTGTCTCCAGGGTAGTTTTTAGACTACGAAATATTTTTAGTCGATTAAAAACAAGAGTAGAAATATGATTAAAATATATAAATCATTTTAGAGTAAAAATTTTAAATTGTGCCAGCATCGATATTTTTTTATCAAACGGTAACTGCCCACTGCTGGACATAGGCCACCCCAGAAGTGGGGTTTTGCAAATAGTTCCCACGCTTGGCAGGCGGGTTGGCACCCGTAGTTAGGCTTTGGTGCTGTTTTAAGAGACACTGTTGTTCATCGACCATTAAATTCCCTTAGTCGCCTCTTACGACACCCATGGGACAGTAAGGGATGGTCCATTCTATGGCGGGACCACACGGTATAAAATGCTGTATAATTATTAGAGCATTATTCCATATTTTAACAAGATCTTTATAATAATTTGCAATTATCTACACTAATATTATAAAGAGGAAAGATTTGTATTTTTGTGTGTATGTTTGTAATGAATAAACTTATAAACTACTGTGCCAATTTAAAAAATCATTTCACCATTAGAAAGCTACATTCACCCTGAGTAACATAGGCTATATTAATTGCTAGAAAAGATTAAGGATCCTTACTAAAGCTTTAGTAACGTAATTCAAAGTGTAAAAAATGCTATAAAATATCTTTCGTCGCGTACGCTGCGAAAACTATTGGTGATAGAACAAAAGTATGTTCTACAATATTGAAGAAAATATCATTACCTACAAAAAATTTCGCGATATTATATGTCCAACTATTATCGTAATGTCACAATAATCACTTATTAAAATTTTGTAAAAATGTCCACCCGTGCGAAGCCGGGACGGGCCGCTAGTATTGTTTTTTATACAACTTAGAACGGCAAACAAGCTGACGGCCCACCTGATGGTACCATGGACATAACAAAATATACTGTTTCGCCCATGATACCCCCCATGCGTTGCTATTCCTGAGGACTCAGGTGTTATTCCTCTGTACCCTGTAAATCCACGTCGCACGCAGTATAATATAATAATTGGAAAACGAAAATTCAATGAACTCGCTACGTTTGTCAATTGCGACAAAATTGTTTCGATATCAACTGTCAAATCTTCTACATAATTTGTAATTTATTAAATTTTCAAATATTTTTAATGATAAATAACCATGATGATTTCCAGGGAGAACTGCGTGAAGATCGACCTGACAGAGTATATTGGTAGTGGTTTTTAAACCCATTACTTACAACCCTTCCTCCCAGGGGGGAAAGGGATTGTTAGCAGTGGAGTTTGACAGCCCCGTTGCTAGCAATATGCCTTATTAGGTCGACCTCCACGTGGTTCCCCCTGGAAACCATCGTGAACAATTCTTATTGAATTCGCCACGATGGGCTAACTGACCTGCTGCATTCTCACCTATCATCCTTCACTGGTGCCCCGCCGGTGTATACCAATAGCGCGGGTGGGGTTACCATTCCATTATCATCCATTAAAAAAAAACCCTTTCTCCCAAGTCTTCAACTAAAATGCGTGTGGATGCTGCTTCGTCACAAAACTACTCACTTATTTGCAATTCATATTTCGTAAGTTGTAATTGTTATCTAGGATGATAAGAATGTTCTTTTAATCTATTATGTCACATTTTTCATTTATTTTTATCTATAATATAAAAAAAGGTCCTTATCTGTACAGATAAATAGTTATTTTAAAAGTACTTATTTTTAGAATAAATTATTTTTAAAATACCTTAAGATACTATTTGTAATGAAATGTTTAAAAACTAGTATTATAGTAGCACCGTAATACCAGAGGGAGACTTTGTACAAAAGTCGTTTGCTTAGGCACCTCTGTCCCATTCGTGTTTCAACCGTAAAGCAGTTGTGTTTGCATGGCTGTGTTTCGGTTTGAAGGGTGGGATATGGCGTGAATTTACAGGGTACTAAGGAATAACATCTGAATTCTCAGGAATGGCAACGCATGGGGTGTATCATGGGTGCAACAGTATACTGTTATGTCCATGGTACTGCTCATGTCTATAGACGACGGTTACCACTTTCCATCAGGTGGGCCGTCAACTTGTTTGCCATTCTAAGTTGCATAAAAAACTGTAAAAGATGAATGGGAAGTTAGAATTTTTTTTCGTTCTTTAACCTAGTTTAAAAAGTACTGTTATTCAAGATCTTGTATGCAACTATCAAAGCTTCTAAGGCCTAGGCATTTCTTAGTGTAAAATTAAAAAAAAAACTTTTAAACAGTAATTTAGAATGTAATAATTTATTATGTTAATAATCGCCTTATTTTGTGGAAGTTTTGTTTTTCTTATAATATTAATAAATTATTATTTGACATTCCACAGTACATAAATATAAATAATCTTTAAATTAACCTAAATTTTGGTATACCCTAATATCTATATTATAAGTGAATGTACAAAACCATAGAAATATATAATTTAATGTGTATATCCTAGAAATAATACGGAATATGAAAGTCAAACTTCCAATGTGTAAAAAAAAAACTTTAAAAAAATATTCCAACCAGCTTTCAAATAAAGAAAACCGCATTGAAATCAATTAATCTGCAACTCTCATTATAATGTTACAGTTAGATGCACACATAGACTTCAAACTTATAACAAAAACACATTGAATAGATACAGTAACAGATCATTAACAAACAGAGAAATCTATGAAGCAAAAAAATTACTCTGTATTTAAAAAAAAAAAATTATCTATGACTCACCTAAGTACATAGGCGTCGACTTGCTCGCTCTGTGTGAAAGAGATGATCTCACACCGCACTATCTTCAGCACATTCTCCCACTGTTGGCTGAAAATTAAATAAAACTATAAAATCCATATTCGAGACTACAGAATTGGGTTCTTCAAAAAAGGGGTAAAGAGGTTTCTTTAAAGTCAACAATAGCTATGGTATATAATAGACTATGGTTAACTGCATACCCTCAGAAGGGCCGTATACTACAAGTATATACAACCGTATATACAAATATATAAAAAGTTTTTTTTTTATACCACTGAGATGGTATACAATACCATCTCAGTGGTATAAAAAAAAAACTTTTATATATTTGTAACCAACATATAACAATAACCACACTGCAACAGCTCCTTTGCCTTCCTAACAATAAAAAAATATATTTTAAGAAATTGATGCAATGATTAGAATTGAGAGAAGAGCAATTGAAGCCAAACAAGATATTTTTTTTTGAATATTTGCCTGTCTGTATACTTGCTTCTGGTATCATTACCAACACTAAATCTGAAACAATCTTTACAGTGTGTTTCTGAAAGTTTAACTTAAAAATAATTTCTATTTCCAAAATCCTCACATACAAAGCTGGATATCAAAGCTAGTGTTGAAATATTATGTGTGGTTAAAGTATTTCAGAGCAAACTTGTAAACAGAATAGTTATTGTAGACACCTAATACTACCTGTATCAGGTTTGTGTACATCTCTTTACTTCTTATAATACACACACATACACATACATGTGTGTGTGTGTGTATTATAAGAAAAAATCTTGTATAAACATATAAATATAACACATCTTTACAAGTTACAACATACTTAAACTACTTTACAGATTTTAGTTTATTTATTATGTTATAATTTATGTATGAATAAGTGATTTATACCAATTTATGACTGTTTAACCAAATAAACACAGGTTGGCAATATAAAATAAATACCTAATTGTTGAAATTATGTACATTTTTAATATTGTTATTTAGTTACATAATAAGGTACATATTTACTATATAAATATGTATATATTTACATACACAATTGTATACATAAATGGGCTTAGTTATCTGAAAAAATAAATAAATTTCTACTAAAACAGGATAAAATAAACTATAATAAATTTGAACTGAATACAAAATATAAATAAGTACCTAGGTTTTGAGTTAATGCAGTGTTAAAAAATACTGCAAGGACCTTTTGTGAAATCACTGGAAAAACAAATAGATATTCAAATAACTGATTCCTTTTTCAGCTTGGATCAAATATGACAAAATGTTTTAAAGTAAGAAAGTATGCTAAATATAAAATTAGTACAGGAATTCAGGATACATATATACATCTTATACTTCGATAACAACGTAGAATTCAAATCACGCGCGATAAACGTGGGTCGGCCCGGCTGGGAGTCCTAGACCAACCCGGACAGCGCTTTTTACCGGCACCTATCGTGATAGAAATAGTTAAACAGCTGATCCAGAATGTTCCATAACAATAACATAAAGATTCCCGATACAAAAACAGTTTATTCAATCATGGTACGACCCAAATATTTTGTATTCTTTGTTATACATACACAGTTCGCAATAATACTACGCCCTAGATTGAGACAGAATAACTAATACATGTTTAGATTGAAAAAAAAATATAAAAATAATAAATAGGATTTTATTCAGCGAAAATTATAAAATAAAGGAGGTACTTACCGAGTGATTTTTCTTAAATCTGCATTTTTAGCCGGCGTGAACCATATTTCTATCAGCTTTTCAACACCTTCAAAAAATTGATCATTACTTTCACTACTAGATATTATTTCCGTTTCAGCCATGGCGTTATATTTTTTCTTTTATTATTATTCAGGAATTTATTTCAATAATTTTCCACAAAACTTGACACAACCACTACGGGCAAACGTCGAGAATTGACTGAATGAAACAAAAATATTGGCAAAATGCAGGTGAAAGAAGAGAAGGAACTATAACATCTCTTTCTATCAGAGCGAGCGAGTCGGCGCGCGGTACGTTCCGAAATGGCAATCCAGCCGAGTCGGAATGAAATAAATAAATGTTAAAGATGTTTATTACCATTATTATAATGAGCGTTTGTATTTACTACCGTTCACTTATCTACTTTATGACAATTATAATGTTGCCTTTGTTAAAATAATAAAGTGTATATATTGATAAGTACTTAATTATATTGACATTTTTTTTTAGTTATAAAACGTGATGGAAAAATAATAGGAATAAAATTGAATAAAATTGTGACAAAATTACAAAATCATAGATAGAACTAAAGTTAGGTATAACCTCTCTGTTATTAATATTATTATGATCTGTTACCTACATCATTGAACCAGTTTTGATGAATTTTGGTATAAAAATAGATTGGACTTTAAGAAGTGATATTTTATATCCCAGTCTGTAAAGATGCCCCTATTACGCAAGCGAAGTCGTGGGAAAAAGCCTGTAAAATGTTATATTGTTGTTCGTGGTAATTTTTCATCAAGTAATCATGGACAATATTATATGCCTCTGCGATGATATCTCGATCCATTCATTTGGACATCAAAATTCAAAATTCAAAAATCATTTATTCATGTAGGACATTTTAGCCGCTTATGAACGTCAAATTTTTACATTATAATTTTATATTTTCCCTACCGTCCAGTTCGGTATATAGATCCAATTGAGAAGAACTGGCAAGAAACTCAATTGAATTACTTTTTTTTAAAGCCAGTTTATTTACAATGTATATTTATATAGGTGTCTATGTCTAACATTAAATGAAAATTCAGTGCATGAACACTATTGCCATGCACACTCGTCATTCAAGTAATCGTTTAGTGAGTAATAGGCTTTGCTCAGTAAATATGATTTAACAGATGTTTTGAATTTATTTAAGGGTAATTCCAACATATCCTTTGGTATCTTATTGTAAATTTTTATACCTATTCCCATAAAAGACCTATTAACTTTTTCTAAACGATACTTGGGGACAGCAAGTTTGTCTTTAAATCTAGTATTAATATTATGAATATTGCTGTTTTTTGGAAATAAGTCAAGATTTTTATGAACATATAGAATATTTGAATATATAAATTGAGAAGCAACGGTGAGAATATTTGCCTCTTTGAATTTCTCTCTTAATGAGTCACGACTCTTCATACAGTAGATCGCTCGAATCGCATCTACGCGACTGTCCCATATTTGTGGCGCAGTGGTCACATCACGAAAACCGCTGTACCGCTGGGAGTCGCGTCATTCCTAATGAACGAGATTATCGCTAAGGAATTTGCAGTCGACCTGTTTGTCAACTTTCGCACGTATATAATAAACATTTAAAAGGCAATTAACATATAGACACGATGGTTTACTCTGACATTTTTACTATGCTATTTATAGCATTTTAATGATCATAACATGACAGATAACACATGACGATCGGCGACCGATCGTTCTTCAAGCAGACAATCGGCAGAGAACGGAGGTTGTTCGCTGGAAGACGACCACAAGCCATCTTACTAACAGTCCCTAGTCGCTCATTCTTGAATTATGACCTCCCCCTAATAATTGTGTGTGTATAAAAGGCATCTCGTCACCCATACCTAATAAAGAGCCAGATCCGATAAAAAGCCTAAACAAAATACTACCTACCGAGGGGAAAAGGATTGTGATGAATTCATCATGATGGGCTAACTGGCCTGTTTTCATTCTCATCTATCACCCTTCACTGGTGCTCCGCCAGCTTATCCCGTTAGCGCAGGCGGGGTTACCATACCATTTTCACCCATAAAAAAAAAATACTATCTACCTATCTTATAGTAGTGAATAAATAAATACTTTATCGCCACCGTGTGCCTTAGGTCGAAAGAGATAGCAAAAAAGCCCGGCATCTTATTTTAACTCATATGTATGAAGGGAAATCATGTTTATCGACAAATGTACTTTGCCACTTATTGCTTTTTGCCTGCGCTATCGATATATGCTGGCGGGACACCATATCACCAATAACGGATAGCAGGTCAGACAGGTGAGTTTTTTAAATGGATGATAATGGAATGGTAAACCCGCCTACGCTAACGATATAGGCTAGCAGGGAGCATGAAAGGTAAGAATGAAAAGGTAGGTCAGTTAGCCCATCGTATTGAATTCACTAAGAATAGAACACAATGGTTTCCAATGGGGAACCGCGAGGAGGTCGACCTGACAGGGTGAGACAGGTGAGTATGAACTATAAAAACAGGTCAGTTGGCCCATCGGGGTTAACCAACTGTAGAGCGACATGACAATGTTATTTTCATATTTAGGTAAAATAAAAAAATAGTAAATATAACAGCAAAATAAGTATGTAATCCCAGTCTAGGGTAGAAATTATACCTGAATTTCTATATAAGAATAAATCCTAATATTGATTATTTATATAATTTTCAGCTAATGTTATTAATATAACATTAATTTAGCTTTTGCTGTTATAATGTTATAATTATTTTTAATGAATAAATAAATAAATTATATTCTTCCTATTTTTTTTTAATGGGTGAAAATGAAATGGTTACCACAACCACGCTATTACTCTATATACGCTATACTCCGGCGGGGCACCCGTGGAAGATGATAGATGACAATAAATGCAGATCAGTTAGTCCACCATGATGAATTCGACAATTAACCATGGTGGTTTCTAAGGGGAACCGTGAGCAGGTCGACTTTACAAGTTATATTAGCAATGAGGCTATTAGACTTCATTACTAATAATCCCTTTCCCGCCTGTTCTTTCTATTAAAAAAAAAAAACTAATAACTTATTTTTAGAAGAGTAACATTTACTCAAAGTGCAAAGTTCATATCACTGATATAGGCCTAAAGCGCGAACTCCTATTTATCATAGTAAATGTTCTAAAACAATAAATAAATGACACGTATTAAAACATAATTAATCGATAAAGTTGTTTAATTTTAATATACTTAGATACTTCTTGTCTGTGGGTTTTTTTTTTAATAGATAATAATGTAATGATAACCCCGCTTGGGATATCGGTATACACTGGCGGGGTACTAGTAAATGATGATAGATGAGAATGACGTCACATCAGTTGGTACATCGCGATTTTATCATGTTTCTAGAAGAAACCATGCAGAGGTCGACCTGATAGTGTACTTGTGGCTCCTGGCGTCCCTTGAACCTCGGTGGTGCTCTTGATGCCACTCGACCTCTTCTCTTAAGACTGTCTGCTAACAATTGAGGAAGATATGCTCACGTAGTGTTTTGAGATACCCAGTAGGACGATAGCAGCGTGCAAGCTAAATTGTACCTTACACTATATTAGTAAGAGTCGCTTTTTATTTAAAGGGATTACTGCAATGACCCTTCTGTAAACAGTACCTGGTAGTAAGTACTCATTATGTGTTATCGATTAGTATCCCATAGTTCAAAAACACAATGAAGTAGTGTAAAAGTTACGTAACTCTTTGGCAGTTTTTTTATGCAATTTAGAATGGCAAACAAAGTGACGTTCCACCTGATGGAACGTGATAACTGTCGCCTATAGACATGAACAGCACCATGGACATAACGGAGTTTACTTTGTCGCCCATGATACCCCTCACGTGTTGCCATTTTTGAAGACTGAGGTCATCGTCCCCTGTAATTTCATTACTATATTACACCTTTCAAACCAAAATATCCATGCAAACACAACTTCTTCACAACAGAAACACGAATGGGACAGAGGTCCCCAAGCAAATGACTTTTGTACAATCTTCCTCTAATAAAAAATAGTAGTTCTTTCAGGGTCCTCACATTAGTGCTTTCAACTATTTCTATGGGGGAGGGAAGGGATTGTTAGTAATGAGGTCTAATAACCCCATTACTAGCAATATACCCTCTCAAGTTGACCTCCATGCCGTTCCCCCTGGAAACCATCATGTTTAATTCTTGTTGAATTCATCATGGTGGGCCAAATAACCTGCATTCATTCTCACCTATCATCTTCCATTGGTGCCTCGTCGGTATATACCAATAGCACGGGCAGGGTTACCATTCCATTTTCACCCATTAAAAAAAACTATTTCTATGGTACCAAATTAAATTCAACATTAAATTAATGTGATTTGGGGAAGGGGGTATTGTTGATTTTTAACTATATTTTTCAGAAAAAATACAAATATATTCTATTATTTTATTGATTGTGTTTAACATAAATTGTCATAAAGTTTCAAATGCGGCCATCAGTCTATGTAAATGTCCATCATCAATTTTCTTGACTGGTTTGAATTTTGGTTTTATTATTGGTATACTTGGAGGTAAGTCAATCTCTTCTTCGTCCTGATAGAAGTCTTCAATGTTAGGTTCTAAATCCCGTTTGACCTGGTTCATAGCACTTGTAGATCTTTTATTCTTCTTTGTTTTCAAATCACTCACATTTGCATTTAATTCTATTAAATTTTTATATATTCTGTCATTGATATGGAAATTTAATTTCTTGGTAAGCTGAAAATAGATGTGAATGAAGTATGTATTTCATATTATTTCTATAATGCTTGATTTAGATGAAAATTATGTGAAGTTCATACAATCAAAACTGAGAGAACAACAGGTTGTAGGTTGTATTTAGCACCCCAATAGCGCAGGTGGAGCAATCACTTCATTATTAGTAGAGATATACTTCAGAGGGGAGGAGGGTGGACTGTCACAATTCAGAATGTCCACCCCAGGATCAGACTCGGAGTTTTTAACTTTGACCCAAAGTTGATAAACTTAGTAAAGACATATCTAAGAGCACAGTCATATGCAACTTATCAAAAGAACCAATATGATCTTAAAACAAATATCTAAAAATAATGCAGTAAGACAAGGATTCGATTTTTAACCAATTAAGAAAAAATTACTTACTTTAGAGGCAATTTCGCCTTTTTCTACATTGATATCTTCAATAGTAAGCGGTGCTGGCAATGAATTTTTCACATCAGATAAGTAATTTGCTAATGCTTCACTAGAACATAATGAGGGCTGGCTTAGTTCATTTTCCTTTTGTGAGGATTGTTCAGTTTTCTCCAACTCTTTTGAAGAGCAAGCCACATCGTAAATAACTTGATTTCGTGATGAATGACGTACTTTCTGTTCATAATTTCTTACCAGACTTTTTTTTACTTTAGTATCTGTCCCAAGTTTATTCATAATCAACGTAGAACGAAATGATGGCAGAAATCTAGATAAAAATATAAATAAATTTTATAATAATACAAAATAAAAATTGAGCCGGTAGGTAGATACAGATCGGTGGTTAAATAGTAAATAAATAAATGTCAATGTCAACTTGACATTTTGACATTGAGTCAACAGATAGACAGTACACAGGCAGCATGGTCACTGACTTCAGCCTCTGAAACTTAAAAAAAAGAATTATAAATAATTGTAGAAATAATACAAGGTATTCATAAATCTATGAAGAAAATTGGAGTAAAAACATAAAAATAATTATGCATAATAGTAATAGTTAAAAGTCGAGTTAAGTAAGTACGTATCTTTTACATACAAGAGATAAAGAAGTTCTTATTCCTTATAGTTACATGTTGCAATGCATGACAATTAATTCTTGCTTCTTTAAATTGTAAACCATCTATAAAGCATATGACTTCTTCGTTTCAAGACACAACAATTCATTATATCCAAATATTTTGAAAAATGTCATAAAAAAGAAAAGGTAACTAAGTAAGTATTTTTAGTCTATGATCACGTATTTTTATTTGGTAATTCCCAAGTCAAATTAAATCTGTCAATCGTTACCTAAGAACAAGGAATTACATGGAAGGAATGATAAAGTAAAAACTGTGAATTATATGGTTGGCTCCTTTCTATTTATACAAATACAATTAGTAAAAAGAGGACGAAAGACACACTATCAGTTGCTATTTTTCTCAATTCATAGTAGGCTAGTGTATTAAAATATGTATGTAAAATTTTTGTTCATATACATTATTAAATTATATATTCAATACAGTTTATGCAGAAAGTATGCAAGCAACTTGTATCCTAATTTGATACAGTCGTATAACATTTTCTATACACTAGCCTACTATAAATTGAGAAAGGGAGATTTTGTACAAAAGTCGACTGCTTGGATACCTCTGTCCCATTCGTGTTTTAACCGTGAAGCAGTTGTGTTTCGGTTTGAAGGATAGGACATGGCGTGAATTTACTGGGTACAGAGGAATAACACCTGAGTCCTCAGGAATGGTAACGCATGGGGGGTATCACGGGCGAAACAGTATACTCTGTTATGTCTATGGTACTGCTCATGTCTATACACGACGGTTACCACTTTTCATCAGGTGAGCTGTCAGCTTGTTTGCTATTCTAAGTTGTATAAAAAAATTGAGAGAAATATCGATATATCGGAAGCATATATAGATAGTGGTACAACATTGTGGATATTCATTTACTTTCTTTTTTATAAATTTCATTGTGTTGTAACTTCGAAAAGGTAACATGCAAATATTTTTTTCCAGGTTCCATTAATAGAAGGCCGGTGCCAACTCTCATAACTTAGTGATTAATTACTCTGTGTCTGTGACTTTTGTTTTTAATTTTATCCAACTTTAAATTTTAATATTTAATTAATTATTTAGTAAACTTTTTATTAATAGTCAAATTTAACATCATTTATTAAATGTTGTAGGGTTTATACATTTTAATATAGAACCTCAAGATATATTTTAAGTCGTTAAAGTATGTCGAGTAATTGTGTGTTCACGGTGAGAATAATTTGTTAAAATGTCATATTTATTTCTATTAGAAACCTTTAAAATGTATATAAATTTCTATTGTTCAGAATCCTGAGTGCTTGCCAGTGGAGCTATTAAGTATTGCGGTTACAAATGCGGGTATTATACAACAAATCAAAGCACTGGTAATATTTCTTTATTTATATCATAATGTTGAGCAATATGTTGACTGTAGTTATGCGAAAATAAAATAATCTTATTTATTTAATTGTTATATTAATTTCTTTTACTGCTAGTAGGCTAATTATTAATATTAAATTATTCCAATATATCATATCAGACAGACAAAAAATGTCTTTTATTTGCCTGAACTGTAAATGCCTATTAACATTCTACTTTTGTTATAATAATTCTAAAAATCTATAAAAGTGTTTGGATGTTTTCAATTCAGTCATATTTGAAGCAGTTGAAGATTTAAATGAATTGCACTAATATAGATTTATTTTGAAACACAGCTTTTGTTCAAATCCATTTAGCTCTTCTTCTTTTCATTTAAGAGTTTCCTCTTGTCAGTGCAACTAATTCAGCTATTATATAACAAACATTCAAACATCGAAATTTATTTTTTTATTTTTTATTGATTATTTGAAATTTGGACTTAACGTCGATCAATTAAACATATAAAAAAATTATTAAAATATAATTTTAATTTTGTAACATTAATAGATTATATTTACTTACGATATTAATTGTGGTAATGTCTACTAACATTCTTGATCACCCAGCAAACTTGCTGCTAATGCTCTTTTCAATTGTAGCTAGTTAATTATTCTATTATATATATTCAGATAGAGTAATTACCTATTCTGTTAATAAAAAATGAAATATTTGCACAAAAATTACTTATTATTTAGTTAATATGTTTCTATTGAAACTCTGTCACAGGATCCATATTGGGTGGAGAAAAGGGAGCTGATATTGTATGAGAATCCACCGTCAGGCAATGCTATAGTGTTGGGAGCTATTTCAGCATGGAGTACAAAGATGAAAGTGTTTTTAGATAATTTGAAATGGTTGCTTAGTTTAGAACATCATAGGTAAGTTGTACTAAAGCTTGTAGCCTCATATAATATTTTTTTTTATTTGGCATATAAAATTGCACATAAGCAATTATTAAATCAATATTAATTTATTTATTGATATGTGTGCTATTCTCTATGATAATATTTTGTATTTATTCAATAATAATTTGTAATATACCAGTAAATAATTGTTCAGTAAAATTTTAAATAATGAACCCTGTAAATGGTCTATCAGGTTTTCATTGATTTTTTTTTTCAGGTTTTGGAGTACAGTCCTGTATCATCCCCAATGTATGGATAGCTTAGTGTCATTTTTACAGGAGGCTAACCCTCCATACATACCAATGCATGATAATAGGGAAGTGCAAAAGTTATATGAAGATGTAAGGAGACTAGTGCTTATTGTATTTAGCAGACTTGTTACAAACAAAGAGAGCAAGGTAATGAAAAAAAAAGTATGTTTTTTTTATATTGCAATAGCTGTATGACGTTGAATATGATATGTGTATAATGTTCAGATCAGTTAGCCTATCGTGATGCATATACATGGAATTCAGCACAATGGTTTCCAGCGGTGACCACATGGAGGTGGATAATGTAGCCATATTGCTAGCAATGAGACTGGTAGTCCATATTACGAACAATCTCTTCCTTTATGGTTAGCCACTTCTATGTCACAGTAGGCTGCTGTCATTTATTTTTTATGCTGTCAATACTATGCTACAAATTGCATTTTAAAGTTGACAATTCGCCTGGTATTATATGCTATAATTACCACTTACCATAAGGTGGGCCGTTTGTATTAGCATTGGCAGGTTTTTTATTTAAAATTATATTTAATAATAGTAATATATTATTTTATGATAATAATATTTTTTTAATTATTATTATAAGATAATAAAAAAAATATATAAGATAATAATAATAAAATTTTCTTTAATGTTAAATTTTAATATTTTTACTACTAAATGCATACATACATTCGGATATGTATCAGTTACAAACAAGAAATATTTATTTTGCTAGTAATAACTAAATAATGTTTCAGACACAATGGATGACCAAGGAATACATGGCGGACATATTGTACAACAATTTTATATTTACAATACCAATTATATGGGACATCTGTCTGACGTACGGCGTGGACAACAGTCGGCACGTGTCGCGTGTGCTCGAGAGTGTGTTCGCAGTGCAGCCCAGGTATGAAGGTGATGCCACTGCTGCGGTCGCGTTTGTGAATGAGGTAACTTTTTTTTTCTCTTTTTTTTTTACTAGGTAAGTAGGTAGGTAACTGTGGACATTACAGGTACTGCACGACTTTTTTTTTTAATAATACTTAAAGTAGCAAACAAATGGTTACCTCACAAAAAGTGTAGGCATAAGTAATATGAATACTGTATTGGGTGGAAAGGAATTGTTAGTAATGGAGTTTGACAGCCCCATTGCTAGCAATATGTCTTATTAGGTCGACCTCCACGTTGTTCCTCCTGGAAACCATCGTGAGCAATTCTTGTTGAATTCGTCACGATGGGCTAACTGACCTACTTTATCTTCACCTATCATCCTTCACTGGTGCCCCGCTGGTGTATACCGATAACGCGGATGGGGTTACCATTCCATTATCATCCATTAAAAAAAAAATATGGATACCGATCTGATAACTATATATTGGGTATCTCTGGACTTTGATAGTGGAATAAAAGTTGTCACTTATTACAGTCCGATGTCTATTTTCCAATATGTTAAAAGCCTGTTATCCAATATTATTTTTTGGATAACAGACTTTTGACATATGCATTATTGGACTAGTATATATATATTGTAACTAAAGTATATAGATTTTGCTATTTGGTTTAATGGGTAGGATATGACGTGAATTTACTGGGTACAGAGGAATAACACCTGAGTCCTCAGGAATGGCAACGCATGGGTGGTATCATGGGCGAAACAGTATACTCTGTTATGTCCATAGTACTACTCATGTCTATAGGCGACGGTTACCACTTTCCATCAGGTGGGTCGTCAGCTTGTTTGCCATTCTAAGTTGTATAAAAAAAATATATTATCCACCTGTAGAAAAGTGGCAACAGTCACCGATAAATATCAATAGTGCTACGGACATTGCAGAATACACAGTGATGTCCATGGTATTCCTGGTGCATTGTAATTTTTGACAACTAATATGGTATACCTCCATACTTTGTAATTTTACTGCCTTATCATTTCTTCCAAACAAACACACCTATGGAAGTATAATTAATGGCAGAAACTTGGAATTATTTTTGTTTCACTATTTTTGTTGCTAAATTTCTTTTTTGTAACCATGGTTTTCACATTGCAGTATTAATCCATCCATTTAGCATACATCATTCATATCTTGTACTCGCCGTTGTGGCATGTATGTTCAGTGCTTACTACAAGTCGCGTGTCTCTAAATTATTGACAAAGTTTTAATCAATCCTACGGTATATGTAAGATCGAATATTTGTCTTAACATCTGGATTATTAAATTAATTTGGTTCATCAATACTCGAATAAAAATTAAATTTTTAATATTTAATCCGTTACGTGTTTGCATGGTTTGTGTGAAAAATTGTACATTTCGTTTGGAAGTAGCTTAAAAAGATTTTAAGGATAAATTAATTTTTTTTAGAGTTTCTTCAAACATATCTGACTAGTTCTTTGAATGTACAGTGTCATCGAATCTCAAAACAGAGCATGCATCATTAATATGCATAATTATTTTTTTACAGACCTTCAAATACATAATCCTACAAGTCAACAAAGACTATGACAGCGATGACCCTCCCAACTTGCCTGAAACATTCAAAGGGTTCAGCGAGATAAGGCGGCCAACAAACTCAAGGAGCCAGGATAAGCTCACATTAGATATGATAAAGGATCTGGTAATGCATTTGTTGGACACTGCGATGACGCTGAGGATATTCCTGGAGGTCTACCCAAAGTGTGTTAAAATATTTAGGAAAACGAATTTTGTAATTAGGTGAGGTTATTATGCGATTACGATTACTCTTTTTAATTTATTAGCGCCTGGTACTTAGTCCTGGTGTATTAAGGATTTTTTTTTATTATTTTTGTTTATGGCCTGGCTTCGAATAGTTAGATTGGATTTTAAAAAATAATTAATATATAGCCTATATTATTTGCAGCTCGTATAAGTGAATTTTTTTTTTAAATCAGTTGAGTTGAATTAAATCTTTCATCGTATAGATTTATTCTTTATTGAACACATTACAAAAAAACATGTATAAAAGGACTTAATTCTATTCCATTTTTGCCAGTAAATTTTTGGAAAAACAGGAATATTACGTCATGGCCGTAGCTAGTGAGGGGTCCCATGAAAATTGTGGCTTCCGCCCCACCAAAAAGTTTTTTTGCCCTACCTTAATATTGGGTCTAACTACGGCCCTGAATTATGCTGTGAGAAGTATTGAAAATTGTTTTGGGTATATAGAGACGTATCTATGTATATTCACACACAAATTAATATATATAACTATGACTATTTGCTTGTAGTATAGTCCAATTGTACGAGTATGGAGTGCCGCTGTTGTACGAGCGGTTGCAGGAGGTCGGCGGGGAAACGCAGGAGGTGTCCTCGTACGTAGACGCAGCCCGTGCCGAGCTCGTCGACTGTTTCCGGGAAATGTTGGCCATCTACAAGAGCGCTATATTTAGTGACGAGTGAGTTTCAACCTTTAACGCAACTTAAGAACAATACAATAAGTATTGTTCTTAAGTTGCGTATGAAGTAGTCCCACTTAGGGTTCAGGAAAAGCGACAAATTATAGAAACCATTGAGATCAGAAATTACAAAATGTCGGGACACTTGATACGACACGACGAACTTATGAACTTACCAAACTGTTTATAATTATTCCTCTCCATCCAAAGGTTATCTGGAAGAGATTGCTTTTATAGATAAAGTCGCCCATTGTTTTCTCATTGTGGTTATTTCTTGTAATTATTTATTTTTATAATAAGTTTACTATTGTAATCTTTTGGAGGAAATAATGAAGAGTATTTATCTAACATAATAGAAGGTAAGATAGAAAGAAAGAGGAGAAGGGGAGGCCCCTTACTAGGTGAAGTTACATCAGGCAGATCAAGGAAAAATTTGGTGTCGTGTCGTATCAAGAGATAAAGAGACTCGTTGAAAATTTTAGCGAGCGGCAAGAGCTCATTTGATAAGAGAGCAGTTCTTGAACAGGATTTAATGCACAAGATCAACTTTGTTGACAGAAGCAACGTATCGACACACGTGGAGGATTTTCTGGCGGTGATGATGGACGGGCTGTCGGAGAAGCTGCTCATCCGCGACTACCACGCCTGCTACCCGGTGCACGAGGACTTGGAGATGCTGCGGCAGGTGTACCCTGATATGTATCCTTACAATACCAAAATATAAATGTATGTTAGTTGCCGTCCGCCCTGACTTCGCCCGGTTAGATAATAGAAAGTAGAAAGATAAATTCGTGTTATATTTTATATTAGCTTTAATATTTTTATATAATAATACCGGTTTAACTTACGTGTAGTGTAATTAGATCGAAAAAGCTTGACTAGTTTCGTAATCAATTCGTGATCCTTAGTCATGAGTGACTGTGACGCGAGCACGAGCCTTTGTGCCTCAACTCGCTTAGCGCGAGCTGTAGTCGCTTGCGGCATCGTCACAGATAAGAATGAGGGCGTTTGGAACTCTTCGAATGTGAACGGCTGGTCTCCATAGTCATCCACCTCGTCTGCAGTGTTATTGCCACTAGTTGTGTTGGTAAACCGTCGTGTACATACAGTGCTCACGGTGTATAGCTAAATTTCAGCTGGATGAAGCACGCAGTCAAGCTCGTGATCGCGTCACAGTCGCTCATGACTAAGGAGCACGAATTGATCCTGAAACTAGTCGAGTTCTGGATCTGATTACAAATCTTTTAACAATAAAATTAGCTTTAATAGGCAAATTTTTGATACCTTAGGTTATTTTTTTATTTTCGTGAGGATCTCTTAATGTTTTTGAAAATAATATATTGCCTATGTTACTCTCTGATAATTCAGGTTTCTATAAGTGAAAGAAGTTTTAAAATCCATTTAGATTTTATTGAGGAATAATTGTATAAGGGTCACAACTTTGTTAAGAAAATTCTTACACTAAATTGAGTGTTACCTTATTGAAATGTGCTGTTAAATAAGTACTTATTTCATTCATGTCATGAGGCACCTCTTTTATTTATTTTTATTATACATATTCTATATCAAATTATATATTCTTCTTTTAACAATACAATGTTTGTGATAGTCATTTTATCCAGTAATTTTTTTTGTTATAGCTCTTATTTGAAAAAAAAAAAACAACAGCTGTGAATCTGTCAGTTCTTCTCAACTAAAATTGCATTCCGAACTGGTAGATTAAAAAAAAAAAAACAAATGCTTATTATCGAGTTTACTTGAATGAAAATTATTTTTATTAATTTATTTATTACATGTAGTTATACTTTTTGATACTGTTAGTGATGTATCACTCCCACCTCACTATAACACCTCTGTCCCATTCGTGTTTCAACCCTGAAGCAGTTGTGTTTGCATGGCTGTGTTTCGTTTTTAAGGGTGGGATATGGCGTGAACGTACTGGGTACAGAGGAATAACACCTGATTCCTCAGGAATGGCAACACATGGGGGGTATCATGGGTGAAACAGTATACTCTGTTAGGTCTGGTACTGCTCATGTCTATAGGCGACGGTTACCACTTTCCATCAAGTGGGCCGTCAGCTTGTTTGCTATTCTAAGTTGTATAAAAAAAAAACACTACTTAACTGTCGTTCCCAATAAACTGTTTGTCACACTAAGTTGTATAAAAAAAAATAACATATTTAGATTGAGTCTAAAATTCCATATTTCTTTGATTTCCTGAACAAAATCACAGTGATTCCGTGAAGACTGATTTTATATTACAAGCAATTTATTCTAACCTCGACGAGCCTATACCTGAAACTGTTAAGCACAACGAGGCCCTATCAAACGGCCGTATTGAAACCATAGAGAATCAAGAGGCCGGCCCTTCCACAGACAACGAAATACCGGACAATATTAGACAGGACTCTTTGATAAGTGAAGTGAAAGATATTTTACCACATTTAGGCGATGGCTTCATATTGAAATGTTTGGAACACTACGGTTTTAATTCTGAGAGAGTTATAAATAGTATACTGGAAGATAATTTGGCAGAGCATTTGAAAAGTAAGTAATTAATTATATATTATTATTGTATAGGGAAGTGTGGCAACATTAAAATTGTTTGTCAGTTTTAAAAAATATTAAAAATTTTGAAAAAAGAATTTCAATATTTCTGATCGATTATTAAAAAATGCTTTAATAGCGAATTAAAACATCATTTATAGAACAGTTTTCATATAAATACTATTAAAAATTTATGTATATAAATGTATGCGTATAAGGGAATTTTTCGCGACGTTCATTTATTTTTGTATATTAGTTTTTCACTATACATGTACATAAATGATATAATAAATTTACTGTGTGGTCCTGGCATAGATTTGGCCATCCCTTTCTTTCCCGTGAGTGTCGAAAGAGACGACAAAGGGAACTTATTGCTCGAGGCATGGGCAGCAGCGTTCCTCTTAAAATATCACCAGCCTAATTGCGTTTGACAATCCACCTGCCAAGAATGGTAACTACTGGCAAGCCCCTACCCGGGGGAAGGGATTGTTAATAATGGGCTCTAACAGCCCCATTACTAACAATATATCCTATCAGGTCGACCTCCACGTGGTTACCCCTGGAAACCATCGTGAGCAATTCTTGTTGAATTCGTCACGATGGGCTAACTGACCTACTTCATCTTCACCTATCATCCTTCACTGGTGCCCCGCTGGTGTATACCGATAACGCGGATGGGGTTACCATTCCATTACCATCCATTAACTCTACCCCCCCCCCCCCTATGGGGGAGGCTTATATCTAGCAGTAGACACTTAACGGCTGATATGATGACGATATTAATGTACATAAATGTATGTATTTAGTATAGAGATTAGTTATATCAGGGGTACGCCATGGGTACCACAGTGCCATCTGTGGTGTTTTTGATGCCATTTATGTCTAAGGACGACGGTTAAGGTCAGCTTAATTGCTGTTCTAAATTCTATAAAAAATCTACTTATTTTTAATCCCATATTCTCTTCCTAGAATTAGACCAATCTCTACCAATAGTGCCGGAGGATCCACTCGACAACCACTTCCTGGAGACGGGCATACAGCGTCTGAACGTGTTCGACGGCGACGAGTTCGACATTATGACCCGCGACGACGTCGACCTGTCCAGGATACACGTAGGCAAGAAGAAGTCCAAGTACAAGGACCTTAAAGAGATGTTGGACGATAAAATGGACGTGAAGCAGAGGATTGATATATATAGCAAATACAAGTGAGTCTATCTTTCTATCTATCCTATTTAAAAGCTACGCTCTTGTCAGTGGGGCTCTTGCCACTCACTACGATTTTCAGCGAGTCTCTTCACCTCTTGATACGACACGACACTAACTCCTTCCTTGATCTGCCTGATGTAACTATGCCTCGGTCTCCCTCTTCCCCTCCTTCCTTCTATCTTACCTTCTATTATAATGTTCACAAGTGAGTAGCAAATATATATTCATACTAGTTTTTGCCTATGACTTCTTCCACGTGATCGGGATACAGAAAGCCTATTACGTTCTCTATCCACAAAAATATTTTGTCCAGCTCTGCATTAAAATATACTCCCTTGTTGTTTTTATGAAAACATTCATGTTCTAGAGAGAATAGAAGAGAACTTGAGAACTGTCTTGTGTGCTGTTTGTTTACATCAGAGCTTTCCAGCCTTTTTCTCACAGATCATTTTCAAAATTTTGCTAGCTCCGGTAGACCCTCTGCAGCTATATTTCTACCATATTCCCAAAACTCGACAAAAAATGTGAAGATTAGATCTAACTATGGAAATTTGCATTGCGGCTGAGTTCCAACCACGAATTATTAGTTTTCGAAAAAAAAAGTTGGAATTGATTGGTTAATTATTTAATTGATTGTACTGTGAGTGGATGTCGAAAAAGAAAAACTGGCCAATCAAAAAAGTGATTCCATCCAACTTTACTTTTTGGCATCTACTCACAATACTAGGAATTACCAGAGGGAGATTGTGCAAGTCATTTGCTTGAGCACCACTGTCCCATTCGTGTTTCAATCGTTGTGCAATTGTTGTAAGCAGTTGTGTTTGCATGGCTGTGTTTTGGTTTGAAGTGTGGGATGTGACAGTGAATTTACAAGGTACAAAAATAACACCTGAGTCCTCAGGAATGGTAACCCTTAGTTCTCAAAGTGGTTCAGGTAGATCTACAAAGATCCACGAGAGACTCGACAGAAGTCTACGTTGGCGTGACCAAAAAATCGGGGTTCACATTTCATATGCGGGGGTTTTTTCGGTTCCACGAAAATTCAATCATATTACAATGTTTTTTTCATGCAACTTAGAACAGCAAACAAGCTGACGGCCCACCTGATGGAAAGTGGTAACCGTCGCCTATAGACGTGAGCAGTACCATGGACGTAACAGAGTATACTGTTTCGCCCATGATACCCCCATGCGTTGCCATTCCTGAGGACTCAGGTGTTATTCCTCTGTACCCAGTAAATTCAAAATTGTGTGCCATAAAGAGTTAATTTCATTATACTTGGTCGTCGGCAGCCTGGTGTGCGAGGAGACGGCGATGTACTCGGACGAGTACGACGACACGTACGACGCGGACGGCGCGGACGGCGTGGAGGCGCCGCCGGGAGCCGAGCCCGACGACGAGCGGCGGCCGTTCGTGGCGCCGCGCGTGCTGCAGGCCGCGCGCCGGCGGCCGCAGGTGAAGCATATATATATATTCTCAAATAAAAAAAAATGCTTTTTATTTGAGATATATTATTATATATACTTTATTTATAATATATATAATATAGCGTAATATGTTTTCATAGTAATTTAACTATGTAATCCTACTTTACATGGTATATGATATATATGCTTTAGCAATATAAAGGTTGTAAGCCTCTTAGTAATAAATAGAAATGAAGCATAAAATAAATGTCTAACACATGCATTAGAAAATATCTTATGATGGCACACTTACATGTCTTTATGTTGTTGAGGAGGGGAAAAGGGGATTGTTAGTAATAGGAATTTACCAGCTCCATTACTGGCAATACACCCAATCAGGTTGACCTCCACGCGGTTCCCTTTGGAAATCATCATGGTTATTTTTATGGAATTCGTCACGGTAGGCTAACTGACCTGCTTTCATCTTCACCTGTAATCTCTCACTGGTGCCCCGCCAGCATATACCGATAGCGTGGCCGGGGTTAAAGTTTAATTATCACCCATAAAAGGAATAGAGTGAAACAAGTCGTTTGCATGATGTGGATATCGGTGATAAGTGATGAGTTTGTTTTTTTTTTTTGATGAAACAACCAATGAACGATTTAATGAACCAGTGAAGGATGATAGGTAGGATAAACTAGATCAGTTAGTCCATCCTGATTCGTGATGAATTCAACAAGAATTAACTATAATGGTATCCAAGGCGAACCGCGTGAAGGTCCACCTGAGGAATGAGGAACCTTTTAAAATCCAAGGCTTTTTTTTTGTATACGGTTTTGATTATCAATTGATCCAAATGATTCACCTTTTTCAAAATAATAAATAATGCAAAATATACTGACATCAGAATTCATATTCTTACAGGAGGAATCTGAGGAAGAGTCAGAGGTGGAAGAAGAAAAACCAAGCAGTAGTGAAAGAAACAGATTGGACTTTTGCTCGAACCCAGAGGAGGTTCGCGCGAGGAGAGAAGCTAACTTCCAAGCTAGGAGAGGGAAGGGATACAGGCCACCACCTCCAAGGTAAAAGATAGTTATCTATTTTTTATCTTTTTTTTTTTTATACAACGACGGCCCACCTGATGGAAAGAGGCTATAGTAAATATATATAGTAATAAAGTGGCTACATGTTTATAGGCGACGGTTACCGCTTTCCATCAGGTGGGCTGTCAGCTTGTTTGCCATTCTAAGTTGTATATAAAAAAAAATAATATAATGGTCATGGGATGGTCATCCCTCCTAAAATATCACCAAAGATTAACTGCAGTTGCCAACCCGCCTGTCAAGTGTGGCAAAGACTGGCGAAACCCCCCAAGGGGGAGGCTTATGTTCAGCATTGAACAGTTAGTAGCTAATATGGTGTTGACGGTAACAACAAAGGTTCCCCAGGAGACGGCATGGATGTTGATCTGATGAAGTATTTTCCTAGAAATGAGCCTATAAGGTATTAATAATGTTTTTCTCTATCTAATAAGGTATGTTACCATTGATGGCAAGTGAGTTGTCAACTCTGAAAAATCTTCAATACACCATTGTAAAAAACCCCATGCTGTCTCATGATTATATCATGAAAGCTCAACAGGGACCTCATGGCTTTATTTTTTCTAGAAACGTGGACGTGGTGGGTAAACCCAAGGGCCAAGGTCAAGAGAAGGAGGTGTTACACAACCGAGACAAAAAAGAGAAGCACAAGTCGTCGCGCGCCAACCACAATCGACGGCAGGGGGCGCAGTGGAAGCGGACCCAAGGACTTGTACCCTCATAGGACTGTGTTATCTCAGTGTTGTTCCCTGTTCATGTACTGGATTGTGCCCCAAGAAATTTATTATTCTGTGAAAAATTAATCATAGCAACATAACGGAAGACACGAGTGGATGAAGGTGATATGTCGTATTTTTGAATTTTCGTTGTTATATGCATAGATTAAGGTGTTATATCGTCGTTGTGCAGCGAAAATTCATTAGCTACAAAAACAGATTCTGAGAATAATCGCGTTTGAATATTTTTCACGTAAAAGTCGATATAGCTTCTAGATAGATAGATAGATAATTTATTTACATTACTTATAGCACACAAATTACAATAAAAAATAATAATACACATAATACACAGCAAAAGAGATAAAAGAATGAAAATAAAAAAGCACAAATAAAAAAAAAAAAACAAAATATATAAACTAACAATCTTCTTTCTTTCCCTTCCTTCATGCGTGTGCCATAGTAACACAAAATGGCCACAGCTCAGTTTATTGCTTTGCCCTTAAAAGAGCAAAACACTGATATTCTGTTGTGGCCAAAAGTGACCCGCGAAATACACAGGTAAAATTTTTGTCTGTCTGTCTGTCTGTCTGTATGTTCGTTATAGAAACAAAAAATACTCGACGGATTTTATCAAAACTTGATACAATTATTCTTCATACTCCCGGGCAGGTTATAGTATACTTTTCATTACGCTACGATCAATAGGAACAGAACGGTGAAGGGAAATGTTGGGAAAACGGGAGAAGTTACTCCATTTTTAAGCTTCCGTCGCGTGTGCAGCCTTAATGGCCACTTTTTAAAATGTAAAAATGTCCACCCGTGCGAAGCCGGGACGGGCCGCTAGTATATTCTATATTAATATTCTTAAGTTCTCTAGCAAAACAGTTTTTAAGTAATCAATTAGAAAAGTTGAAAATTCTTTGTTTTTCAAAATTGACAGTCGACTGCAACGTTGCCACACTTAGTTGAGCAAAAGTTATGAGCTCTCTTGACATTAATTTTATTTTCATAAAATATGTGTATGACACATTATTGTATTTAATGCATGGCTGTGTATATTTTACTCAACTAGGTGTTATCTTGCGGAAGTCCATATCACTGGTTATTATTGATTAGAATTAATTTTAAATATTTTGTTTGACTGCAAACACTCGAAGAATGATCACCACTTACTACTAGAAGTTCCACACCTTTCCATGTCAGCCACAAATCTCCGACTGCCATTTCGTCCACGCACGTTTTGCTACAAGTGTTTCACCTCTAAACGAGGCATATTCAGACAAATTATGAGATCGCTGCTTGGTGTCTCGCTTAGTGTTTTAACCGTTCAATCTTCCTTCTTTTACCTTAAACGATTTACTTACAGATTAGTTCTATAGAAATTTTATTAAATTCGATTCAGTGGTTTAATTTTTAGACCAAAATAACTAATTTTATCACAATTGAAGTCTGTGTTTTAGTTGGCTCCATAATGGGCCACAATTTTACACAAAACAATAAGAAATTGATGCAGTGCGAGAGTCCACTCTCAAGCACGATACTCTGTAATGTAAGTCGTAATTTCTAGAAATATAAATTAATATTATTAATTTAATAATAAAATAAAATGTACGAATAGTTGTAAATATAATAATAAGTATTTAATACTAATGTAAATAAATATGTTTTATATTATAGTATAGAATTCACCGGTAACTTAATGTTTGTATAAGTTAATGTATGCAACCCATGGGATATACAGAAACCATGGGGTATTTTATACGTTCCAAGTATTAGGTAATGGAATTTTTGAAGATTTCTCCTCCCTGTGTCGTAACATTTTTCTATACACATCGAGTGACCATTTATATATGTCATACAATTTTATATTTATAATTAAAAAAGTTACAACATTAACGAATACTAACAACGAAAACATAATAAAAAATTACATATAATGCAGTTGTGGAAATGTTGCCAACTTGGGGGATTTTAATTCCTTAGTTAGTTATTTAAATGGAAAGAAAAAAAAAATCACCCTTCCGCTACTGTAAAGCTTTTATAACGATTTTTTTTTTGATGAGTGAAAATGGTATGGTAACCCCGCCTGCGCTAACGGGATACGCTGGCGGAGCACCAGTGATGGGTGATAGATGAGGATGAAAACAGGCCAGTTAGCCCATCATGATGAATTCATCAGGAATTAACCATAATAGTTTCCAGGGGGAACCGCGAGGAGGTCGACCTGATTGGGTATATTGCTAGCAATGGGATTCCCAGTCTCCATCACTAACAATCCCTCCTCCCTCCTTTATCGTAACGATTTACCCCCCCAAATGCCTTACGTAATACTTGGACGTCCCCACATGAGACCATGAAATGATGAAATAAGAGCTGTATGCAAGGTTAGAATGAAAATAAAATGGAATGAAAGAAGGACACTTTTATTTAGGATAAAGATCTTTGGCATTCGTTACTGCCTACCCAGTAAGGGACTGGGAGTGAAGATATATGTAGAATATGTAGTTTGGCAGAATGTGATTATTGTGGTGCTACCACATAACAAGATTTGATAACCGGTTTTAATAGTATTTCATAACATCACAGGGTTATTACATCACAGGACATACTGGGATAGTGTTACATTATCTGTGACAAAATACACCGAGATCTGGAGGTATAAAGTCCAGATTACACGATTCTCAATAGAAATTGCTTTATGTATAACCCCTCACTATAACGCCCTCAATGCAAAAGGTCTATTAATTTGTACAGAGGAATAACACCCGAGTCCTCAGGAATGGCAACGCATGGGGGGTATCATGGGCGAAACAGTATACTCTGTTATGACCATGGTACTGCTCATGTCTATAGGCGACGGTTACTACTTTCCATCAGGTGGGCCGTCAGCTTGTTTGACATTCTAAGTTGCATAAAAAAATTGACGGGATATTATTTATTTATTTATTTATTTATTTATAGCAAGGCAACAGATTACAAATTAATACATTTATAAAATAAATATTACATAAAACATCATTAAATTTGCACTCCAATAACTGCTCTGCATAACATTCGATATTATATACATTAAAAGAATGACGGCTATAAATTTAAAGTAACAAATTGGCAGCCTTAATGTAACATTGCAAGGACTGTTGGAAGATATCAAGGTCCTTGCATACATTGTTATATTTTCTGCACATGCGGATAATTGGATTGTGATACGATACATTATTATTACAAATCGGTATATAAAATAATTTTTGTATTCTTTTATTACCTGTACGAAATGAAACAAGGCTCAACAATGTGCTACTGTCCCATTTATAATTTATTATTTTATAAAGAGTAATGAAATCAGACATAGATCTTCTATTTATAAGAGAATTAATGTTAAAGTGATTAAGTCTTAATTCATACGAATGAAGTTTCCTTCTCAGACCAAACTTAGTGCTCAAGAATCTAACAAAGCGTTTTTGAATTGCTTCTATTCTGTCAATGTGGTTCTGATAAAAAGGAGACCAAATAACAGAACAGTACTCAAGTGAACTTCTAACTAGTGATGTATAGAGTGACAAGATAGTATGCGAGTTTTTAAAAGGTCTAGTTGTTCTAAAGATAAACCCTAGAGTTCTATTTGCTTTTGCAACCAAATAATCATAGTGTTGTATAAATGACAATTTTGAGTCAAATATAATACCTAAGTCACGAATGGATTCCTTTTTTTCCAAACGCATATTATTAACACAGTATGGATAACTTATTATATTCAATTATACAGCATCTCCTATTATAATTCGTGTAAGAGGAGCTTTTTAATCCCCTGATGTTGATTTTTTTTGTGGAAAATCATCAGGTAAATGTAAATAAAAGAAATCTCACAACTTTTTATTCACTTACTGTTTTTAAATTAAAATTTTGACAAGTATGATTTCTTTAAAAAAAAAAAAGAGGTTTTGGAATATGAACTGAGAGAACACCGCACAGTAGTTGGCTAGAAGATAATCCAAAATGATTGGTTACAGTCAAATGTCAGACACGGGAACAGTTAGTTTTAAATTTTATGTTAATTTATAAAATTATTATATGACAAAAGATTACAATTATTATATTTTGAAAATGATCAGTAATCGATGTATCTATAATTGTTTATATTATTTACACATTTTATTGAAATGTATTTACCATGAATAAATTGTTTTTATTGCTGCACAATGATTTTATTTAAACCCATCACACTCCATTGTTTTGAGAAAGTTACTCTTAACAATAACGCCGCCTTGTCGTAATCATTTTGCGCACATGTTCTTTTTTTAAGAGAAAAAGTATTCCATTTTTAAATATAATCCTGTCTGCTTTCAATCATATTCTAAATTCAAATACTTTTAATGTTGTGTCTATAAAACGTCGTTCATTGTGTTTATGATTAAATTCCTTCTTTTTTTTTAGTAGCAAAATACAGTTTTTTTTTATTTTAATATATTTACGACTATCACCTTTAATAAACATGTCGCATAATAGCACGAAAATAAATTTCAAATTCAATGGCAACAGTGTATCGGATGCTTTCTATGTTGGTAACTCTTAGTACTTGCACAGGTATGAGTTATAGTACATAATTCTAAGTACGTAGGTATATATGTTTTAGTTATCTATTCGGCGCACATCTCAGAAGCTGTTAAACATTCGCGCAATTGTCATTAAGGCGGCATTGCCGGCGATGACGATTTATTAGTCGGGTTCTGTATGGGTTAATAATGATGTACGATGTGCTTTTAGAGTTGGAGAGGGTAGTGACCCAGTAGTGTCTATACTATTTCAATTTACTACAATTACCAGAGGGAGACTTTGTACAAAAGTCGATTGCTTGGGAACCTCTGTTCCATTCGTGTTTCAACCGTGAAGCAGTTGTGTTTGCGTGGCTGTGTTTTGGTTTGAAGGGTGGGATATGGCGTGAATTTACAGGGTACAGAAGAATAACATCTCAGTCCTCAGGAATGGCAACGCATGGGGGGTATCATGGGCGAAACAGTATACACTGTTATGTCCATGGTACTGCTCATGTCTATAGGCGACGGTTACCACTTTCCATCAGGTGGGCCGTCAGCTTGTTTGCCATCAATTATCAAATTAGCTGATTTGTTTTTTTATGAGTGCTCTGTAATATACACTTATGCATATAATGTATCTTGACATATCTATATTTAATTATTTAATAAATAAAATATGTTTTCTGACGTAATAAAAAGTTGCAAAAATTATAAACCAAATTAAATATAGAAGTTATAAACAAAACACTCCGTACTCTAACTATTTATCACGTAAAATTGTATGATAAAGTTGACCCGCTTTTCTCGAAGCATTTGTATGAAGACACTTTATCTATATAATGTAAGCTACCATAGTACATATTCGTATGCCACCGCAAACGCAATGCAACGCAATGATATACGGAACCGTGTCTAAAATTGCAGCAGATACCTACGTAAGTTCGTGGAATAGAGAGGTCAGTGCAAAATGTCGGTTGTGAATACTTGAATAGGCGAGCGTGAGCTAAATCGCGTGTGCGTGTTCAGAATAGCTATATCTCATCTCTGTGATAGTCCACCGCCGCGTGCAGCCTAGGCTGCGGCGAGCACGTGCTCACGGGCGGAGCGGTTTATTTGAGGACAATTCATTTTGTTTTAATATTACTATAACAGTCCTTAAACGTACACTATTAGGGGGGAAAGGGATTGTTAGTAATGCGGATTATCAGTCCCATTGCTAACAATATACCCTTACAGGTCGACCTCCCCGTGGTCCCCCCTGGAAACCATCGTGCTGAATTCTAAGTGTATTTATCACGATGGGCTAATTGGCCTGTATTTTCATCCTCACCTATCATCCCTTACTGGTGCCCCGCCAGCGTATACCGTTAACGCAAGCGGGGTTACCATTTCATTATCATTCATAAAAAAAAAGCACACTATTTAAATCTTAGAGCGGAATACTTTGTACAAAATTCGTTTGCTTAGACACTTCTGTCCTATTCGTGTTTCCACCGTGAAACAGTTGTGTTTACATGGCTGTGTTTCGATTTGAAGGGTGCGATATGGCAGTGAATTTATAGGGTACAGAGGAGTAACACTTGAGTCCTCAGTAACGCATGGGGGGTATCATGGGGGAAACAGTATACTCTGTTATGCCCAGGTACTGCTCATGTCTATAGGCGAATGTTACCACTTTCCATCAGGTGGGCCGTCAGCTTGTTTGCCATTCTAAGTTGCATAAAAAACACACTCTTTTGATAGCTCGCTGAGTAAATTGCAAATGGAAATCGCTATTGGCTGATTTAAAATTACTTTCCAAGGCTTGTGCTTTTAAAAAAGAGGTAAATGTATTTTTTTAATGGATGATAATGGAACCTCACCTGCCCTAACGTTATACGCTAGCGGGGCACTAGTGAGGGTTAATAGGTGAGAATGAAAAAGCAGGTCAGTTAGCCCATCGTGATAAATACACCTATATTCACACGATCAGTGCGATTTCCAGGGGGTCCCTCCTGGAGGTCGTGGAGGTCGATCTGATATATTGCTAGCAATGGGACTGATAGTCCGCATCACTAACAATTCTCTCCCCCTGGCATATGTATTGTCAGATAAGGTTTTACAAATATTCACAGCTGGAAACACCGCTCGCATCGTGAGATCGGGATCTCTGCTTTGGGGTGGGCACAGCGTACCCGGCTCTTTTTAATACGCCCATGGAAATCGCTAAGTGAGTCACTAAACTCACAGCATACACTATATAGGTACTTCAAAGATGTACCGCCGCTCGTAAAAGCGTCACTGCAAGCCGTGCCCGTACTTAGGTCTTCATAATATAATACTGGCCGCATAATGGCGTGTAACTCATATCTCTCCGTAAGACAGTTCCCGGCCTAGGGACAGTAATTACTATTTATTAAAGAGAAAAGCGAATAGTTTCACTATTTATCTACGTACTAAGGTACCTATTTATTTACGTACATAATAAAAATATGCATATAGTTTTTACACTTGTAATTTTTAGTCAATAATTTTTTGTGCTACATAGAATGGCAAACAAGCTGAAAGCCCACCTGATAGAAAGTGGTAACCGTCGCCTATAGACATTAGCAGTACTATAGACATAACAGAGTATACTGTTTCGCCCATGATGCCCCCCATGCGTTACCATTCCTGAGGACTCAGGTGTTACGGCTCTGCACCCTGTAAATTCACTGCTATATTGCACTCTTCAGACCGAAACACAGTCATGCAAACAACTGCTTTATGGTTGAAACACGAATGGGACAGAGGTACCCAAGCAAACAATTTTTAGTGACAAATCTTTTGAATTTTTAATAAAAATAGGCCATACGGAACATATTTAACATGTCCGTTAGACAATTTTTTCCTTTCTGGTTCTCAAGACTGACTAGAACAAATTCCTTTGAACATCAATTCAAGTTTTGTATCTTGTCATTTTTCTTTGTTATACATACTTGTATAAGTTTGTTAAAGCTGGAATAATTAGGTACCATTACATTCTATTGTATATAGATCCAAACAATATTGTATTCTGTGAAGTCCAAGGACCTGTTCAGATCTGCAATTAACAGCTACCACTGTCCATCATGTGGACCGTCAATTTGTTTGTTTACATCCAGCTGTATATAAAAAATAAAATTCGAAATTTCGACCCGGGAATCGAACTTTAGACCTCTGTATTGCACTCAAGCAGTAAACCTGAGCTGTCACCGCTTAATTAGTTTAATTTCAAGCAATCAATGTCAACTAAAGCCACTTGCACGGGAGCGCATCGATAAAATCAGCATGGTTCGTTGTTTTATTACATTACCTGTAATGGTGGACATTAAGGCGGGGCGGAAGGATTTAATAAGCGACCGGCTTGAATGCTTGGAACTTTGAGGCTCGGAATATC